AACAAAACTAAAAGAGAAGACTATTATTTATAGGTACATGACATAACATAAAGATGAAAATAATGTGAAATAAGAAAATAATATATTTTCATAAAAAGCACGTGAAATATAAGAAAACAAATTTTCACACATGAAAATAAAGAAACAATTAATTTCCAAAAAAAAAATCTACTCTAATTTGGGTCACAAACCCAACAATCTCCAACTTGATCCAAATTCTAGTGCAACAAAGGAAACTCCAATATTTCAAATTCGTCTACATCAAAATAGCCAATCTTCTAAACACAGTGACCAAAACTCTCCAAATCAAACTGTTGTCCTTTGTAAGGTGTCTACAAGCGACACCTGAACCCAAATCTTGGGTTCCCAAAATTCCACCGAGGAATTATTGTTGACCAAATAGGGTCGAAGCACACCCTGTCGCAGAAACTATATCACGTGATGGATCAGAAGGCCCCTTGCTATAACTATCGTCTTCAACATCCCCAAAAGTATCTCAAATATTATTGACACCACGATACCTACGCTCCATAAGTCCAATCTTAGCAAATGAACATAGTGTATGCGCTGAAATTGGTGGCAAAGTGAAATCACCAATGCTCCCTTGAGTAATGTTCTGAATCGACCCAGAGCTTGTCACAAGAGGTACTGCACTAAACTGAATATCCACCACGGTACTGAACTTGTCCCAATGTCTCTTAACTGGTTATGCATTCCTCTGCAAGATGTACAACTGAGATATTCTCCATCTCTCAAATACAACCCGAACACCCTTTCGGACCTTCAAAACTCCACCTCTATCAGAGAATTTATACCATTTTGCATCTAGGGTACTCAGCGAGATAAGAATCATTTTTAGGTTTGGAACATGTCGAACATGATCCATTTTTCTGATCGTCCCATCTTGCAACCTTAAGTCTGACTCGACCAATTCCAGGTAATATAGCAATATTCGTTGTTTCCCATCACAACTCCACCTTACTTAAAATTCTCATATTCTGAAAGAAATTTCGATTGGAACATATTTCGAATCGAGAATCCACTCTTCATCAGGCCTAGATTCCATGTCAGATACCTTGGTCAACATCACATCTCCGCTGTCTGAAAAATTCTCAACTGCATTTGTTTCATCTGAAGTAAAAGGTAGCGCTCCATGATTTGCAGCTAAATCACCTTTAGCATTCAACTTATCACAATCCTTTCAAATATGTCCCTTACGTCTGCAGTAAAAGCAAAACAAATTGCTATTATTATTCGATCTACCCTTTTGTCGACCACCATGAGATATAAGAGCTTCCTCATCTCTCGATGTAGCTCCAACTTTTCCTTTGAGTGTAAAATATCATAGACGTCGTCTATAATTAAAGTATCTCAACTATACAAAATGGTGTCCAGAAACGATGCATAAGAGTCATGTAGCGAACATAATAGGTTTAATGCAAGATTCTCTTCATCGTACTTAATCTCCAACGTTTCCAAATCTACGACAATTTCCTTGAACACAGCAATATGGTCTTCCCACGACTCTCTTTTCGTCATGCAATGAGAATAAAGCTTCTGCTTTAAAGCCGGTTTACTGGTAAGACTCTTGGTCGTACATAACTGCTCTAGTTTCAACCACAAAACAGTTACTATTTTCTCCTTCAAGACATCCTGCAAAATATTGTTGGATAGGTAAAGATGAATCAACGACAAGACATTCTGATCCCTCTGTTGTTTCTCCTTCATTGTCTAATTAGCTAGTATCTTTTCAAAGTCCAGTAGCCTATCGTCTAAATCCAACTGCGTCAGAATAGCCCTTATCTTTACTTGCCACAAAGAAAACCTCGTATTGTGATCCAATTACAAAATATCTTTACTTGCCACAAAGAAAATCTCGTATTGTGATCCAATTACAAAATATCATACTTTAAAGCAGCCATCTCTAGAAAACCTTAACCAATCCACGACAAGAACCAAGCTCTGATATTACTTGTTGAACTCGGAAGGATTTTAGTGAATAAAATTAATGACGTGATATGAAGTAATGAAGATCGCAACAAGAAACAAGATTTAAAAGTAAAGAAATTAACAAAGAGAGTTACTCGCAGAAACATGACGTTTTATTAATCGACAATATGAAGAGAAATACAAGAATTCAGAAATTCTTGCTTAAACAAAATTGAAAGAGAAGACCACTATTTATAGGTACATGGTATAGCATGAAGATGAAAATAATGTAGAATAAGAAAATAATATAATTCCATAAAAATCACGCGAAATATAAGAAATCCACCATTATTTGGGTCATAAGCCCAATATTCTCTTCATCACCTACTCTAACACCATATTTAAGGGTTTTTTCGAATTGCGATCACATCTTTTCCACATTTTCAAATAAATCATCACCCCAATCAATTTTTGTCTCTTTCACTACTACAATCAAAAACATGGACATAACATCAATCAATGACATGATCACCCGTCCCATTCTCTCAATTGGATGCATTGCTCTCATCTTCATCAATCATTTTTCTTTAGCAACTTCCATTGGCAACGAGTGTGGTGTGTTAGCCTCTACAATGTACATCTAACACGACCATTTGTCCATTTTTATCGGCAAGTCCTTGACATCTGCTTCATTCTTCAATCTAACAAATTTGCAAACTCATTTATGCTTTTTATAGTAGAATTCCAAACTTAAAAGAGGTCCACATGCACATGAAATTTCTTGTAACTTTTCTATTGTGAAGCATGAAAGCTTTACATAGTCCAAAGAACGGGACAACACCATGCTCAAACAACACGCTCAGACGCCACATTCTTTGCCTTATCAAGAAAATTTCCTTTATAATGAATTTCCATGTATGCAATTACATGCAGGGACGGATTTAAGATTGGATCCAAGACCGGACTATAAAATTTCAAATCGTGCTATTACATGGAAAAAAAATTTATACATTAAAAATTGGTTTTTTACACAAAAAAATAAAAAAACACCTTAAAAAAATGTTATTGGTCCTGAGTGGGAGGACTATAGCCCAGCCTAAGCCCCCCAAATACGTCTCTGGTTACATGCAGGGGATGAGCTAAGGATAAATGTTGGGGGGGGGGAGAGATTTCACAAAATACTAATTGTGGGGGCAAAATTGAAAACTATATGGAAATTTTTGAAAATCTATTGCAAAATCTTGAAAAACCTTAGTTTAAGGTCTTGGAATTGAAATTTAGCGTGGCGACAGTTCGCCCATGGCTACATGTACATGAGAATAGATGAAAATTAAGATTCATGTATGTACTTATATCATCTTGATCAATAAAAAGTCAAATGACTAATGTGTTTTACAAAAACTGAAAAATATCATCACAACCCTACAAATATAATCCACCACCAAAATTAGTTTCCTCACTGGGTAAAAATCCTATCTTTAAAATCAATGCAGAAGAGGAAAAAAAATGAAATCCGTAAATTCCCAAAATAGAAACAAAAACTATGGTATTAATTAATTTCTAACCACTTCTAACCACTACACTTTTATTCACCACATGAGCATTGGGTTCTATGTAGGCACAGGACGAAACTTACCATATTTCGGAGCCTACTGCCCGTACATTCTGCATCTCAAAGCAAACATTTCTTTCTAACGAAGGATAGAAGATGTATGGTAGGAAAACGATCAATATTATCGTAAGCAAAAGTGAATACAAACATACGTTTTCCCTACAAAACTTCTTGCTAAGCACGACCTCCAAACTTTAGTGTTTTGACTAATATATCATGAGTAAAGTTATTTATCATCATTTGTGTAATGAGGATAGACGATAAGGATATTTTGTGCCAATTACCCTAAACATATTTATGTTTTTAGGATATGTTTCATATATTACGTAGGTGTGCGTACAAAATGTATGCAATTTCAACGCTAACCCACCGTAACTAGAAGTAGCGAGACTATATTTTCTCCATGCTCAAGCTACGATTTAGATGGGTCTAAAGTTTATGAGATGAGTCATTTATTAACATGTAACTTCAACGAATAAATTACCTCTCGATGATCTTGAATCTGATTGTATATGAATAACAATATTTGAGCTATCAAATCAATTTATCATCGATACATGATAACTTTGAAATATGTCTATTCATTTAATACCTTTTTTTGTGTCATTGACACATCATATTGCATTTTAGTCTATTTCTTTTATATTTACGGAAAGTTCAAAATAAAATGAAATAAGGGAGGTCCATTGTCAATTTTCAATTTGTTTTGTAATGTGTCAAGTATTTGTCAATAACATTTGAGAGGTGTTACAAATACAGGGGTTTGTTTTACATACCCCTACCAGAACACACACACGCATGAGCCCCAATCTATCTTTATATATATATAATTTTTTTTCAATGTGGGACCGACCCCTACAGTGAGGGGTAGGTAATGCTTCTGTGAGAAATGCGTCTCATAACATTTTTATAAGATCTTATCTATTTATGGGACTGTTTAGGAGTGATTTTGAAAATTGATTTTTTGATCGTTAAGAGAAAAGTGGGGTCCATTTGTGAGAGAAGAAGTCAAATATAACAGCTGAAATAGTGAAATAACGGTCAAAAAATCAATTTTCTGGATAAAAAAATCGGGCCCAAACATGCCTATATATTGGAGCTCAGATTATGAAATGATGGACCTAAAAAAGAAGGCATCAACAAAAACAAATTTTAGAACCGACAATTCATGACATCAATATTAATCTATTAGGTATGCTAAATTAGCTATAATTATAAAAGAGAAGCTTGAGACAAATTCTTTACCAAGTTAGTGCAAGGTGGACACATAAAATAGTGAAAGACAAGCCCCCACTTTCAATAATCAAGAAACATTATTAAAGTGAGATTCATCAAACCCAGACAAAAATATACATGTGTCAAAAGCGCTACACCCGAAAGCAACGCCTGTCAATTTCAAAAATCAATAATCACTTATAATTCGTCTCACACAGTGTCTGCAAAAACGGTGAATTACTTGTTTGTTTTGACTTATAAATTATTTTTCTAAAAAGTAGCTTATAGAAAAGTAATTTTGATATTTTGCAAAATAAGTACGCAGATGCAAATGTTCTTGCAGTTGAATCAGCAGCAAAATAGTCTCCAATGGCAGTCAACCCCCTTTTGGCCCTTCTCTCAGGACACAAATCTAGTGTAAATGAATTAATTTGAATAAACTTTTGAGTTAAAATTTAAAATGGCGTCGGCGTGGGAGCATTTCGGGGAGGTTGCAAATGTTGTACAGTTGACTGGGCTAAATGCAGTAGCCCTAGTATCATTGATTGTGAAGGCAGCAAACAGAGCCCGGATGCACAAGCAGAATTGCCAAAAATTTGCGCTGCATGTGAAAATGATTGGGAATTTGCTGGAGCAGCTTAAGATTTCTGAGCTTAAAAAATACCCAGAAACAAGGGAGCCATTGGAGATGCTTGAGGATGCACTGAGGAGAGCTTACGTGCTTGTAAATAGTTGTCAAGAAAGAAGCTATCTGTATCTGATTGCAATGGGTTGGAATATTGTGTACCAATTCAGGAGAGCCCAAGAAGAGATTGATCGGTATTTGAGGATAATTCCCCTCATTGCACTCCTTGATAATGCCCGGGTTAAGGTATTTATATTGATCTAGATTTCATTTTAACATTATTTATGTTGATCTAGATTTCATTTTAACATTCTTTGTATGTATAGTTTGTGTAGTCAATCCGAAATTCATTGAGAACAAGACTGTCTTTGTTGCTATACTGCTGTTGTCTCCATTAGAATAGTTTTGGACTCTGGTGCTTTATTAATTAGTTTATTGGATATTGAGTGATGGATATTCCTAGTTATTTTGTTAACCTTAAAGTTGAAATATAAAACAAATGAATTGGAAACTTAACATTAAGACCCACGACCTCAACATCAAGGTGATATGCAAACCTCAATGGTATATTCAGTTGGACCCTTAAAACTTTAGCCTTCACGCCTTTCAGATATGGGTATTTCTAAGGGCCCCTTCCCCTTTTGAAATATTTGAAACCCGAAATGTGGTTGAACATTGGAGTGATTTGGTATTGCATTTAGATTATTCAATTTGGATGAATCTGGATGCACAAACCAAAAAAGTTAAGTGTTACGAATATTACTTCTTGTTTGTCACGTATGAATTACATGCCTAAACTAAAAATTTAACCAAACATTTCATGTTTGTTTTTTATGCAGTATTTGAGTACACTGGGGCAATATAATTAATGGCATTTTGTAGTCTTGATGCTTAAATAATGTATCTCAGTTTCTTTTACATTTAGGATATTTCTTTTGTTGATAGTGGGCATAGAAAAACTGCAAGCTAAGGTAAGAGAAAAATAAATCTCATTGACCCAACTAGAGCCTGTTTGAGTCCCATTTGTATTGAAAACTGCATTTTGAAATAGTGGATTGAGAATGTGTGGTTAAAAATAAGGAAATTTTTTTGATTTGCGTGTTATATTATTTTAGTGACGAATGTATGGTTGAAAAGAAGAGAGAAAAATACATTTTGAAAATAATAGAGTTCAAACAAGGGCTAAGGCTTTATTTAATGATACTCAGAATTTGATGTGTGAAAACCTTTTCGATTGATTCATATCTAGTGAATCTTCGAGGAATTGGATGAGGAAAAGAAATTATTGTTGGTGTAAGATTATCATCTCCATGGTGTACACTGCTGTTACTCATTAATAGAGTCTTTATTGCTTCTCACCATGTAGTTCTCCATTTGATTTTGAACATTAGGATAACATGTATAATTTCTTGGTTAATGTCTATTTATATTGTTGGTATATTAGTGAAATAAGATGCCTTGCTTTATTGTTGTGAGTCTTTTTGACTAATTACAGGAAAGGCTTGAAGAAATTCAGAAAGATCAACGTGAATACACATATGATGAAGAAGACAGAAAAGTGCAAAATGCTATTTTGAACCCACAACCTTCAGAAGATGACACAATAATATTGAAGAAAAGTCTGTCCTGTACTTATCCAAAATTACCTTTTGATACAGCACTTCGCAAGGAAAATGAAAAGCTCAAGCTAGAGCTACAACGATCACAGGCTCATTTGGATGTGGCTCAATGCGAAGTAATTCAACAGTTGATTGAAGTTACAGAAAAAACAGCAGATCCCCCATCAGAGTATGCTTCACCAGTTAAAAGTTCCCAGAAATTGGAGTTGGGTAAGGCAAAGAAACCTTTTGAGAAGAACACTGAAAAGGTTCATCGTCAAACTAGCTCAAGGTCCATCTCTTTCTTGTTCATCTTAATTTAATAGCTTGATTCATTAGATTCTGTTGACGATTAAATAAATTTGTTCCCTCCCTAAGAGTTGAAGCTTTTTAATGAGGTGATTCAACTTTGAAGATCAAGTCTTACTAACACTCATTTATAAAAATTGATCCCCCTATACATGAGGGTTGGGGTGGTTTGATTCTTTTTCATATGGTAAAGCTGCTTTTTTCATCTTAGCATTTTTATTCTGACTTCTAGACTTGAGATTTTATGTTGCTAGTATAAAAGTTTCTTCAATTTCTATATTTATATGCACAGGAGGGGGGCGTCAACTGTGGAATCAAATTTGCAAGAGGAATGGCATGCAGATCTGCTCGGCTGTTGTGCTGAACCTTACTTGTGTACGTCCTCTTTGCTGACAGCTTTGCTCATATAGTTCTATTGATGTCATTCTTTTGTGAGATTAAAGTGTAGCAACACCAAAACGGAGAGGAATATAGAATTTGTATAACACTTTTGCCTTAAATCACAAAGAGAAACACCTTATTTATGCGGTTATCACTAACTATAAAAGGAAAGAATTATACTGATTACAGCATGCACTATTATAAAAGCGATCATTTATAGTTGACTAAACAGCTGCGCAACGAAAAAAAGTAAATATCATAGATTTCTAGAATCTGAAAATATACTACTCTAGCTGTAATGAAATGGGAAGATAGGAGGAGGGAGAAGAATTAAACAGACGGAAGCGAAATCTAAGCGAGAAATATCTCATTATCAAAATTGTATGAATTACATTGCATAAACTTCTTGTATATAGGGTTTATACTAATTTAATTGAAGTAGGGATGTCAATTAGTTTTGCCCAGCTGGCTCGCAAGCCGAAACTCGAGCTCGGCTCGAGCAAAAATGGTTTGGAATTTTTTTGGTCCGAGTTGAGCAAAAAATCAAAGCTCGACCCTTAGCAAGCCGAGCCGAGCTGTCTCATTTTTTATTTATTTTTTTTAAATTCGTGACAAATTAAATTTTATTTTATTTATTTTATTTTTTTATTTTTTTTATAGAATTTAAAATTAGTATAATTTATACGAATTTTTACCTTATAGCTAAAAAAAATATATCTATTTAAACTAAGTTTGAATTTGAAATTAGAAATTTGGTATAAGCAGCTACAGCTGCCTTAACATGCACACGGCTTGACTCGGGCTTGAGGCAAAATCCCAAAATGGGGCATGGCCGGAGCCTTGGCTCGGTTCTTCCGAGATACGAGCCGAACCAGCTTGGGCTTTTTTCGGGTTGAGCCACGGGACGCCCGATCCCATGAGCCAAATTTACACCCTTAAATTGAAGTAAGAAAATACAATAAAATTTTTGAAATCGAACCATAATTAAGCATCAAAATTGTAAATTGAATTGAGCCCTTGTTTCGCCCTCAGTATTTGAAACTCACTCTTTTTTTTTTTTTTTTTCAAGCTCATTTTCAACCATATATTTTATGGGACCCATATCATTTATCAACTTTTCATCGTACATTTCATCAATTTTTATCAAAATTTAATGAAAATCTCATTTTTATCTATATCAAATAGGGGCTACATAAGATCTTTTATAATATTCCATCACCCTCCATTAGCTCTTATGCAAAGTCTCGCATCAGAAAATTAATCTAGCTATACTTAGAGTGCTCTTTTTATGCATTTCCAGTTTCACTTTATTGAATCTCATTCCAGGACTCATTTAAGAAGTTATTTAAGCTGAAACAGTTTTGGAACTCTAGTGAATCTCACGAGAAGATGGACGTCAATTTCTCTTAAAATGAATTGCCACAAGAAGAATTCAGGATTTTACTATCTAAGTAATATGAAGGCTCACATTTCTAAGATAGATTGGACTTTGAATATTTAATTTCTATTAATTTTGTCATAGAAGTAAGTCCATCTTTATGTGACCATAAATCATGGCATTGTAATCATCTTTGTACAGATCACCTTGAAACTTGCATTTGTAGGTGTGAAGACCTTCCTTTGCCCTTGTAAAGCATTTTCTAAAATTTCATCAGTTGCAACTGGAAAGCAAATGTGTAAGTATTTTACTTTGGTTAGTTTTTATTCATGCATTTCTCTGCTAGCTGTATTTCTATAGAGAAGAGTAATACACAATGTTCACTTAATTCCACAGCATCGGCTGAAGTTTGTAATGAAATAATGGCCTATTCCCTGATACTGGCATGTTGTTGCTATACTTGCTGTGTCAGAAGAAAACTCCGCCGGACATTTAACATCAAGGTATTTTACTCTTATGCTTCTTACCCAGGTTTCTTGCTAATACTCAAGTAATGGCAAATTACACTCTTTTAACTGATGAAAAATTCAGGAACAGTATTATTACTAACTATAATGACATGCTTGTGTGTTGGACTCGTACTTAGGTATGGTTGGTAGGGAAAAAAGCTAAAACCATGTTCGTTAATCGTTATGCATTCCAATCCTGTCTAGAGTAGTATACCAAACATGCACTTAATGGATCGTGAGGTGCATCCGGATTGATTTTGGTTCATGAGTTATAGACTTATGGAAGTAGGGACCAATATATATGTTTTTATTTCTCATGAAAACGATAAAGAGGTAGCTGCTTAAAACTATCTTGATCTATATAACCCTGGAACTGACTTGGTACCTGATGTTACTTCCTCAACCCATATCCCAAAGTCGAAACACCAGCATCAACTTTCTCTCATTTTGCAGAATCGCACTCTGATAAGTGGTTTGATAACATTCAAAATCTTAAAATATAGTTGGTGATGTTCAGCTAGCTGTGTGATTACTATATATCAATTTATTGGCCAGATTTGGACATCAAATTTAGTCTGTCTGTTACCCTTATCGTAGTCATGCTGGTTCTTAGTTATCAAACTCCATGCTTACCCACATTACTTTTAGTTCATATATTTTGGTGTACTTAAATTACATATCATTTCTTCTGAAGTTCGAGATGTCAAGCGGAAAAACATTAGAAGGCCAACTTGTTTGAACCAGTGCTTTTGTGGTTTTGAATTGATTTTTAACAATTCTTAATGAATCTTAAATTAGATTTTTGAATCCTTCAATATGCTCACTTCATTTTCACCGTTAAGCTTTTCAAACTGCTTTGCATTAATCACACCCAAAAAAATTACATTTCAAACTGCTGCATTCTTTCTTATTTTCCAGGGTGGCCTATTTGACGATTTCTTGTCACATTTCATGTGCTGCTGCTGTGCACTAGTTCAAGAATTGCGTGAAGTTGAGATTCGTGGAGCCTACGGTATGATTTACTTTCAAAAAAATTCAACATTATATGCAAAAGGGAGAATCGCACTATTTGTCCACCTTTCACAATAGTTTATAATTAGTATCCAATGGCGAAAACAATCTAAATCTTTATAAATCATCATGTGGTCCTTGTGTATCCAACCATATGAAGTTGGGTTTTGCTTCCTAACTTGGACAGATGCCCATAAAATATGAGGTGAGGAGTGTTTTAACTACGCTGGGTGACAATTTTACGAAAATTTTGACGATTTTTAACATTGAAAACGGATTGTGCTACCGTAATGAAAGGTGAAGTAGAGAACCAACTTGCTACTGGGACAATAGTTGGTCTCCTCGGTGGATTTTTCGCTTAGCAAAACACTGTCCAAATATGTAACAGCCCTTTCCCGTGCACAATGATTCTGTTAAGCAAATGATCATATCTAAATTTCTCTCTACAGGAACACAGAACACGAGAACCAGCCCCCCTCCTTGTCAACACATGGAGTCTTAATCAAATGCTGAACCTGATGCGCACTGTTTATATACTAGTTCATTAGTATTGACTGTCAGCTTTATTTTACAGTCTAAGCTTAACCTCTCTAGATTAAGCTGGCGATCAGAAGATGTACAGAATTTACTTGGGCTCTTTTATGTTACATGGTTTTCATTCAGTTTGAGTATTCTTATTTTCCACAAAATACTCGTCCTTGGAGAAATTTACCGCAAGGATAAAATTACTTCAAAAAGACTCATTCCCCTCTGCAATAGAATGTGCGATTCACATTGACCTTCGGCTTCTAATGAAAATTTGCACAAACCGTGCATTAGCACCCAAAAAAAAAAAAATAAAAATAAAAAATAAATAAATTGTGAGCATGTGAATAGCACGTGCAACATTTGGTGTGGCAAGTTGTAATTAAAACTTACTAATTTAGGAATTAAATTGAGAATTCTATTTTACTTAAACTTGACTTTATTCTAGTTTTGCGTGGGAGGTGATTAGTTGGTCTTTTTTGAACTTTTTTGGCTGATTGTATGGGTGATCTTAGCAACATGGCTAAGTTAAACAGCTACAAAAGAATAAACCAGTTTTCTTATTATTATTCTTAAAGTCCTTTGTTACTTGCAATTCTTGAAGGATCTTACTGCTTATACATTTGCAATTGGTTCTATAAGATACGACTGACGCTATTATATGCAGTTTTACCTCGTCGAAACTCCAACAAGCACGAAATACAAATGTGCATAATCTGTGCATGTGTATTGATTACGTGAGTACATGTATCACATGTGCACCATTTTTCTTGCCACTTCAAAATAAAATTAACATATAAGTTTAAGACATCAGTTCTTCTTCGGCAGATTTGGTGCGAGAATGGGAATTCTTGCAAATTATCTATGTTGGAATGTGAAAGTAGAATTACTCAAAAATTAAAAAAAAATCTTTAACTCAATAAATAAGATCGTCTAGATGTTTATGTGTATGTTATATCAAAAACAGACGATTCAAATTTTTTTTTTTTATCTAAATTCGATGATCGATTCTTGAATTATTTCTGAATCACGAACTTCCAACTTTTAAAGAACTCGATGCTCCAAATGTTCAAGTCTTTTAAGGTATTCAATGAAGTCAAGACTACATCAGTGGGTGGACATCTTCTTTTAATTATATTAAGAAACTAATCATTGAACTGGACAATGGAATTAAAGTAAGAAAAATAATTTTTTTTTCTCTTTCTCTCTCCAAATTTGTACACTATGAAATTATTGTATTATGTATTGTTGTGTTCAACATGATATCCAAGTTCCATCTAGTTTCTATATATATAGATAAAATACTTCCAATCCATAGACAATTAAAATTCTATATTCAAATAGGGGTTTTAAATAAAGTCAAAATCCAAGTAGTTTATATTTAATTACATGTGTAGTCCTAGAATTTTAATTACAATTAAGTTTATAACTTTCATAACAATTACAACGAAGTACAAAACTTTATTGTATTGATTAAATGACTGAATTATTTTATATTGTGATCCAATTATTTGTGGTCCCTTCTTGATTGTAATTATTTATTTTGAATCTGTAACAAGATAGGTAGAATACGATTCTATCATCTTGAGTTAAATTTCATTTTAATTAGACTCATAATTGTGAGCCTACGGGACATAGAAATTATGTAATTCTTGTAATTTTTGAATCTTATAAATTAATGGAAGATTGAAGAGTAAGGCAAAGAAGAAAATTCAAAAATTTGCACAAAAAGAAAGGGGGATTAATTTATCTATTGGCAGCAAGCTGTGGCAGGAGGTTGCTATGTGGGTAAGAAGTTTTCTTGGGTCTATTTTTTTTCCAGATTAGATTAGGCATGGATAAGTCTGGTTCAGAATTAATTAATTAATTTTTTACAGGTGCGGTGGTGGAGTCCTATTGCTGTTTGGATTGCTACTATTGGATCCTTGAAATTTTCGGCTAAAGATTTAAATTAAATATTGGGCTTCGGTCCAATTAATTTTAATTTAATTCTTGAGTTGATTTTTGGGCTACAAATAATTGTTAATGCTTTATGAATGCTTTAAATTATTGTTTAAAATATCATTGTTTTATTTATTATAGCATATAGATTAATTTATGACATCGCTCGTGATACCGTGAATAGAATGCATATCATTTAACATCGATTTTTTCTAGATTAATTTCATTAAGATTGAAATATTCCGGGAGAAAAATCGTAATAATTAAATTGTATACTTATTCAATTAATGAGAACAGTTGATAATTATTTAAAATTTTCATTGATTAATTTAATTTAAATTAAATTTTTCTTAAAAGAAAAATTCGTAATAAGTAAACTATATATTAGTTTGATTAATTTGAACTACTGATGTTTATTTAAAATTTCTTTGATTAATTTAATTTAGATTAAATTTTTATGGAATGAAATTCGTAATAATTAAACTGTGTGCAAATCTGAAGTGTTGTGAAAGACTGGGATGGAAACAAAACAGAATGTATCGAACCTTAGATTGAGTCTAAAATATCTTGAGTCCAAAAAAACAATAGCACTCGAATGACTTGGCTCTACTTGTTGAAAACTAAAGATGAAGTTTTCCCAGTTTTTCAATTATTTCATAAAATAGTTCAAATTTAATTCTCAGCTAATTTTTGGATTTTGAGGTTGGATAATGATGACGAATATTTGCATCATCAGTTCCTAGATTATTTTCAATAAAAATGGTACGATTCATGAGACATCGAGCCTCCAAACACCTCAACAAAATGATATTTCTAAACGAAAAAAATTTCCACACGTGCTCTCTTATTCAGTGCTCGTAACTAGTACCCATTTGGTTGATGCAATTGCATAGCTGTCCATCTTATCAATCAGATGCCTACCAAGGTTCTAGAGTTTCAGAATCTCTTGCACATCTTCTGCAGAGAATCCTGAAATTGAAATGACAGTCCCCACTATCCATTATCTAACTACACCTCACAATTCTAATAATGTGTATACTCCTATTGGCTATGAGTTACCTTTTAGGCACAATCGTGGAAAACCACCAAATAGATATTCTCGTGAAGTTGAGGACCAAAGATTAAGCTATTCAGAACAAATGCCAATTATGAATCTACAGAGACACATTCTGAACTTCTCAAAAACTTTACAAATGAGCTCTCTTTATGTCATATTCCCACAAGCATTGATGAGGCCTCAAAAGACCCTAGATGGATCCAAGCTATGAAGGAAGAGATGTAATCATGGCTGAAAAAGAGACGTTGAATTTCATGTCTCTACCCGAAGGACAAAAGAGAGTAGGGACTAAATGGGTGTTTTTCCCCAAGTACAAAGCTGATGGATCAGTTGAACGTTACAATGAGAGACTATTGGTGAAGGGCTATACACAGACGTACGGTGTAGATTGTCGAGAGACCTTTTTCCCAGTAGCCAAGTTAAATACTCTTAGAGTTGTACTTTCTTTAATAGTGAATCTTGATTGACCATTGTATTAATTTGACTTGGAAAATGTTTTGCTCCATGGCGATCTTAAATAAGAAATTTACATCGATGTTCTCACAAGATGTAAGACAACTTCCAAGAATAAGGTTGTGTGCAAGCTACAATGGACTTTATACAGATTAGAGCGAGCTCCTTGAGCATGGTTTGGATGATTAAGCTTGGCAATGAGGAAATATGTTTTTCATCAAAGCAATTCAGACTGTACACTCTTTCTAAGGCATCAATAGGGCAAGATCATAGCTTTGATAGTCTATGGAGGCGATATGATTATTACAAGAGTTAATTAAGAAGAAATACCAAGACTTTAGATGCAATTGATAGCTGAGTTCAAGATGCAAAATCTATGAGGACTCAAATATTTCTGAGAATGGAAGTTACTAGATTCAAGCGAGGTATATTCGTTTCCAAACAAAAATATGTTGTAGATTTCTTATCAAAAGTTGGACTTTTTGGAGAGTAAACCTATAGATACGCCCATGATCCAAAATCAAAAGCTTGGATAATACCCAAACCAAGTGCCAATAGATAAAGAAAGATATCAATGATTGGTTGGTAAGCTTATTTACCTCTCACATACACGACCCGATATTACTTGTGCAGTAAGTGTAGTAAGCCAATTCATGCATTTTCTAGGTGAAGATCATATGAATGTAGTGATTCAAATTCTTCAATACCTAAAGTCCTCTCACTTATGTTTTCGAGGCTATATAGATGTTGGTTGATTGGGCAGAAAATGTTACAGATAGAAAATCCACCTTAGGATATTTGACTTTTGTTGGAGGAAACCTTGTTACATGGAGGAGTAGGAAACAAAAAGTAGTGACATTATCAAGTGCTGAAGCTAAATTTTGTGGGATAACTAAAGGTCTTTGTGAACTTCTATGATTGAGAAGACTCTTAACAAAAATTGGCTTCGCTCCAAATTGTGAGATGATTCTCTTTTGTGACAACCGGGCAGCTATTTGTATTTATCAGAATCTTCTCTACCCTGAGTGAACCAAACACATGGAAGTGGATTAACACTTTATCAAACAGAACTTTGAGGTGAAGATTATTTAGTTACAATTTGTTAAGTCCAAAGATTGGTTAGCTTATATACTTACAAAAGCTATATGCAGCAAGAACTTCTACAACTCACTTGACAAGTTGGGCATCACAGATTTGTATGCACCAACTTGAGATGGAGTGTTGGCACGAATTGTCCTTAGAAAGATTATAGAAAGTTGAATGTAATTATCTTAATTATAGAGTTAGCTTTCAATCTAGCTAATAAAGCCTCAATCACAGTATGGCCAAATATAGGCCACGTACTGCAGTACACATCCATCTTTGTAAAGGGATACTCAGAAAAATCCAGATTTTATTTTTCAAACAAAAAAAAAATTGTATCTTTCCCATTTGTTTTCCTAAGTATTAAAGTCACGTTTCTAATGTGAATGATAGGCATGGGGCTATCTTTGTCTTGAAATGACAGTTCATTTGGTGGAGTAAGGGAGTTAAAGAGAAGAATGAGAGTTAAATGTCATGCATGACCCAAAAGAAAACCTAGAATAATTAACGGTAACAAATGTGGTGAGGTATTAGTATGATGGGTCGTAGCCAATTTCATTCTCGTTTATTCATCATGAGGTATTACTCATTTAAGAAGATAAG